TCCCTCTCCGGTCAAGTTAAAATAAATAAATAAATAAAGTTAAATAAAACAATTATTTAAAATAATAAAATAGTAATCATCTTAATTTTCAAATGTAAACCAACCAATTGAGTAAATCTTAAGTAGGGAAGACTTGACAAATAATGTACAGCTTCTTCATAGATATTCACAATGGGTATACAATGGGTCACACAACAGAGTATGTTAAAGTGCCTCCCTGTCCCCATCTCTACCACTGTCCCACTGCCACTGCGCTTCTTCTTCTCCACCTCCACTGGTCTCCAGGCTGGGTTCTCATTGTCCCTTTCCCAGCGTCCCCCTCTCATCTGTCCCACACTGCTGTGTTCAGCTTCTATAGGAAGCAGAATTTGATCTTTATCTGCTTTTCTCATTTAATGAGCAGCTGACTGAAATCCTAGTGAATAAATGTCTTCATCATACAGATTGTGAAAATCTCCTGGCACATAGCAGATGCTCAATAAATGGAAGCTGATCTTATAAAACCTACGTCATAGAGGTATTGCTCATGCTTCTAAAACAAAATACCCTAGACTAGGTAATTAATAAGCAACAGAAATTTATCTCTCACAATTCTAGAGGCTGGAAAGTGTAAAGTCAAGGCGCGGGTAGATGTGGGCCTGGTGAAGGGGTTTTGAGTGCACACATATACGACCATCTATTTCCACAGGTGGTGCCTTCTCTGTGCCCTCATGTGCAGAAGGGCAAAGGAGCCAAACACTCCCAGCACCTTTTCACAAGGCACTATTCTTCTTCAGGAGGGTTGTGCCTCACCTACTAAAGGCCCCTTCTTTTAATATGATCACACTGGGGGTTAGGTTTCAACCCGAGTTTTGGAGGGACACATGCAAACCATAGTAAACCTCTTGAAAAGAAAAACGTTTAGAGCTAACCCTTCTGGTTTGACAGTCAGTGTTACCAGGATCTCTTTGTTACCTTCAGAAGATTCTGACCAAACCTCCTGGCAGAATAGGAAACAGTTCCAGAGAGGATGCTCCAAGACGGGATTAGTGGCGGCAAGGTGCAGGTGATCAGCAAAGGGGTGTGGAAGGAGGTGGGGACGGGTTCAGGTATCTGCTTGGGTCTGGCTGCCTCTCTGGACTGAAGACAGCCTACCAAGGCAGTGGAAAAGCAGCAGCAGTGGACTCTACAGCTTTGTCTAGCAGCTAGTTAGTTTGGACCTGCCTGTCTGCAACAAGGTAGGTGCTCACTCAAAGTTGTGGGACCAGAGTGAGCCCAGAGGAGCAGGACCAGACACTCGAGGCACGGCATAGACAGCCAGTGTTTGAGCATTTGGGATCCTTTAAAGAAGGGTCCTTCTCAGGGATGACAATGATGGTAGTTGTCCCTTCTGTGTGGTATGTTGTAACTTCACTCTGCCCTTTCAGTGCTTGGATTGTCGCTTTTAAAAAAAAGTGTACATATTTATTTCTTCCATGAGTGAGACAGACAGAAAGAAGCAGCACCCTGGAAAAGGTCTTGACACCTCAATCCACGCCCAGGTCATGAGCACATGTGTGCTCAGTGCCCTGAGGGAGGTCTCTGGACTTAAACTAGTCACCCTCCTATGTGGGATTGTCTCTCGGAGCATCGTGTTTTACCGCTGTGCCACCTTCCACCTCAAATCACGACTTTTAAAAAGGGAACATCAAGATGTATCCAAGGAATATATACTTTACTTTGTTCTTTTTACTTTCTTTTCATAGGCTAATGCTGTGGAATAGAGTTTTTGAGCATTAGTTCCAAAGTTTTGGTTTGGTTTGGTTTGGTTTACAAGAGTGATCGAAATTGATTAATTTGCAATAATACAAAGTGTTATGGGCTGAATGTTTTTACATACCTCCCCCAACCCCACAATTCATACATCGAATTTTTTTTCTTTTTTTTGGAGAGGTTTTTGCTATAGGGCACATGCGCTCACCAGAAAGACAGAGAGACAGAAAGCGAGAAATCATCCTCCAGGGGGGATGGCCATGCCACAATCCCTTCTTCTCCATTCTCCTCTCAGGATCTTGGGCACGCACGCACACGCGCCTGGCATGAGTTTAAGACACCGGGTCCAGGACTCAAACCACAGTCGACTACATGGGAGTTCAGCGACATAGCCATTACGCTAACTGCTGGTCCCCTTATGTTGAAATCTTAACTCGGAGGGGAGGCATTAGGGAAGTGATTAGTTTCTAAGAGTAGGGCCCTCATGAATGGGATTAGTGCCCTTATAAGAGGGACCCCAGAGAGTTCTTAGTCCTCTTTCCGACATGAGAGGACATAGCGAGAAGACAGCTATCTATGAACCAGGAGGCAGGCCTACCCCAAACAACACATCCACTGGTGCCTGGATCTTGGACTTGCCAGCCTCCAGGACAATGGGAAATAAGTTACCTGAGCTCCCCAGACTGTGGTATTCTATTGCAGTCGCTGAACTGACGAAGACATGGCAAACTCTAGAATCTAGCAAACATGAATCTCTCCTAATTTTTTTTTTTTTTTTTTTTTTTTTTTAGTTTGCTATAAGGTGTGTGCTCTTGTCTGAAAGAGACAGAGAGAAAGAGGGAAAGTTGGAAAGCACCTTCCAGGGGGAATGGCCATGCCATAATCCCCTTTCTTCCATTCTTCTCTTGGGGTTTTGAGCACACACACGTATGCGACCAGTGTATTTTTTCAAACTGCTGGGTCCGAGACATGAAATGTGCAGTTGTCCATGTGGGATTCAGCTGCCTTAACCGTCACGCCACAGGTTGGCCCCATCCAGATTTGTAACAGAAGGGAGAGGGCTGACCTATATCTTGACTATGGTACTCATTATTTACACAGCAGCCATCACTGTGGAGACACAGCACCACTGACAGCCCCACCCTTGTATTGCCTACACCTTTCTATCCCCTCCTGACTGTTGTCAAGGATTGTGCAAAGGAAACAAGTTACCTGTACTCCACCCAAGCATGTAGAGAGGACAGATCACAGCAAAGCAGTGGTGGGAGGGGGAAGAACATCCACCTGGAAATGAGACAGTTCTGGGTTGGAATCCTCCGTGACTAGCAGTGTGACCTGGGAGAAGTTACCTGATAGCCCTGAACCTCAGTTCCTCAGAGGCAAAGTGAGAATGACACCTCCCAGTACTGCTTGGAGGATTGCATGTGCTAACAAGTAGTGTGTGCTAGGTGAAGTGCAGATTTGCTCTCCTGTGGTGACAACTGAAAGGTGGCATGTGTTAGTCCAAAAACCAGTGGGAAGCTCCTGAGGACCAGAGGTGTTCATCTCCCAGACCCCCTGGCAATTCTCCTGTCATCTGTACTTTGCTAAAACTGCTTCAGGCATGTTCAGATAGAAATTTCTCATGGATAAGACACTCTTGCCAAATAGGCTACTTCTCAGTAGCACCCCAACAGTGGCTCCTGGGAAGAGCCATTAACTCATTCACTCAAGTGTCTGTCTTTCTGCTCAGGACAAATGCAGGCATGGGCATTGGGGAGGAGGCCCAGCAAATAGCAGGTAAGAGCAGCACTCCTGCACTCTGTATTCTTGCAGGGCTCATAGGCCTCACATCCAGGAGAACTGGAAGAGAATGGGAAGAAAACATTGCCCTATTGGGTCCAGCAGGTGGCGTAGTGGTTACGTCGCTGGACTTCTACATGGCCAACAGTGGTTCAAGTCCTGGACTCAGTGGCTTGAATATCATATTGGGTGTGTGGGCATGCATACCCAAGATCCTGGGAGGAGAATAGAGAAGAGATTGCAGGGACTAGCAGTTGATGTAATGGCTACATCGCTAGACTCCCATGTAGTTGACCACAGTTCAAGTCTTGGACCTGGTGGCTTAAACTCACGCCTGGCACGTGTGTGTGCGTGCCCAAGATCCCGAGAGGAGAATGGAGGAGAAGGGATTGCAGGTTGGCCATCCCCCCCACCTGCCCCCCACGGAGTGATTTCTTGCTCTCTTGTCTCTCTGTCTCTCTCTGTCTTTCTGGCGAGCGCACGTGCCCTATAGAGAAAACCTCTCCAAAGAAAGAGAGAGAGAGAGAGAGAAGGGATTGCAGCGTGGCCATTCCCCCATGGGGTGATTTCTCACTTTCCTTTTCACTATCTCTGTGTCTCTCCAGGGAGTGCGAGTGCCCTATGACAAAAGCCTCTAAAAAAAAAAATGCCCTGTTCTTCCTGATGGGTCATATTTCAAAGGTAGTACTTTACAGAAACATCTTCGAGGCTTTCCCAAACCATTTAAGGACATCTAACAGAAACGGAAAGTATTTTCACTCCTCCTCTCCCCTCCTGTGTCCTCCCCTTGCTGTTTTGTTCTCATCTAACAGCTTTTTACAGCATCTTGGTACAACCATTCTACAGAAAATTCTGTTTTTTCTATCCCTAAAAAAACTATGCTAACAATTTTGAAGCAGAATGTTCAAGACAAAGGTACTAAAAGCGATTTTTATAAATTTTCAGAGAATGTGTGCATGAGAGAGAGAGAGGAAACACCCCCAGTGAGGTGTGTCTACACTCCAATCCTTTCTCCTCCATTTCTCCATCCCATCGGATTTGGGACACACACACACACACACACACACACACACACACACACCAGCTACTAGGCTGGGATGTGAACCACAGTGGGCCATGTGGGAACCAGTTCCCAAGGCACTGAGCTTAATCACCATGCTATTCTATTCATTTTAATAAAAAAGTACCACATACTTACTGTGGAAAAGGAATCAAACAGCTCATATGTGTGTCTAGTATAAAAACCCTCTCTTCTTCCTCAATCCCGCTCCATTGAAGTGACCACCACTGACCAGTTTGGCACACGTCCTTCCAGACACTTCAGACTTGGTCATTTAACAAATGTAGTGTGGTGATTGCCTACAGTGTGCTAGGTGCTGGAGATCGGCGAAATGGACATGAACATAAGCCAATATACATTTGTATGTGTGTGTATGTGTCATATGTATTGGCTAAAATAAGATGTTTTTCTAGACCAGCAGTTAGCATAATGGCTATGTCGCTGGACTCCCACGTAGTCGACCATGGTTCAAGTTCCGAACCCGGTGGCTGAAACTCAGACTGGGCGCTTGTACATGCGTGCCCAAGATCCCGAGAGGAGAATGGAGGAGAAGGGATTGCAGCGTAGCCATCCCCCTGGGGGGTGATTTCTTGCTTTCTGTCTCTTTCTGTCTCTCTTTGTCTCTCTCTCTCTGTCTTTCTGGTGAGCGCACATGCACTATATCAAAAACCTCTCCAAAAAAAATGTTTTTCACTACATAATAACTAAGCCACTTTTCCATTAGTTAGCATGGAGAAATACATATATACACATTTATGATGTTTAATAGCTGTGGAGTATTCTGTTATAAGGGTACACCAAATGGTGGACATCCTGCATATATTATCTTAAGAACATTACTGCTGAGTAAAGCAAACCATGCTATGAAGGAGAGGCATTGTATGTCCCCCACTTAATATATACTGAGTGTCTGCACTCTAA